TTCGGTATTTGTCAACATCAAAATTTTATTATGGGCATCATTCACAAACTCATGGTTTTCCCATCCCACCGGATATTTTCACAAGTGAATTGGTTCTAGGCCTGAACTCAGAAACATAGCACGCTTTTCCGGGAATGGTTTGAACACACAAAATCGTATTAAACTGCTTTACATTTTTAATAGTGCTGGAATTTGAGATGTGCCAGGGTTTGATCAAGTCTCCGCCACAAAGGTTCATCAGTTCCGAGCACAAACGACGTGAGATGAGATGGGAAAGAGAGAGATCATTTCAAGTAGTGCTCACTCCGACAGGTTGACGATTGGTGCTGGCGTTCGGTGTTTCTTGAAGTGTTGTTAGCCAGGTGTCGGGTTGCATAGTCTGCAACTGGGATTAATTTCGGCCCCGGGGAAATTTGGTAGATCGTTTATAAATGTGATGTACATTCAAGTACATATATTTGTGGAACTCCATGGAGTGTATTGTATTGTGTATAACTTTTGCAAGCACTGGAGCTCGCATTTCAGTTAAAAAATCATACACACTAACCGTCACAGTGTTCATAATCAACGGGGAGAAAAGTTTTCACACGCATGGGAACATCTCATAATCCAAGGTTAAGACAAAGTTCACTTATTGTTCGCTATTTGTTTGTGAGCAGACGAGCAAGATAAGGTATGGGCGAGTTGTGTTATGTATTAATTCGAGTTGAAATTTGGCGGAATTGGGAGCGTGTTGAATGACGGGAACGACAAAGTGTCAGTTCCGCATGCAATGGGTGGTCAGGATCTGTGAGAATTCTGTCGGCAAATTTCACACAGGAAGTTACGTGATACTCGGAAAGCTTTACATCTAATTCATTCACAGGAGTGGAAGAGACACGACTAATAATGGTTAGACCGCGTTGTAAGACTTTGAAGTCCTGTTTGAGTAAACCAGGAAAAATAACTGGCAAACAGTAGAGTAAGATGGGGAAAACACATTGATAAACAAAAGTAGAAATAACTGACTGAGATGCGCGAAACTGCCTGAGCTTTCGTATTTGGAATGAAAGGCGTCGCAGTGTACCAATGCAGTTGTGGATGTGGGTTGACCAATGAAGACTGCTATCTATGGTTACACTAAGATATTTGACAGAGTTCACCCTGGATAAAGGAATGTTATTAATCACTGTGGGGTCTGTCGTAAATGGAGAGCGAGCAAAACTATAAAAACACTCAACACATTTACTGGGGTTCAGGATTAGCCCCGATGAGGAGGAGAATGACTGAATTTGATCAAGATTATCGGTGAAAGAACTTAGATCAGAGTAAGAAGAAGTGGGTTGGCACAACACGGCATCATCTGCATATTT